GCTCGTTCGCTGCTCTTGGTTGGCGTCGGTGTCTTCTCTGCGAAGGGGGCTGGGTTCACGGCTTGACGGGGGCGTCTGGTACATGAACGAAGCAGCACCTCCACCAGATGTCACGGGGTCGTGACGTGGCCAAAGACAGAAAACTTCGTGTCGGGATTTAACTGTTTATTTGGGCGAACCTGGGCCCGGTAAAGGTAAAGTCTAATTACAGCAGCAGTCTTGCACAGATAGCAGTCTCGGACTGATAGCGGCGAACGCAGCGTCGGCCTTCGATCAACAACTGACAAGCGGCGAAGCGCGTCGGCATTTATACTCTTGCCGTCGAATGTTCTAGCGTTATCGCTGGCGGTGGCGTAGCTTCCAGAACAATCTGTACCGTTCGCACAGTGGGCGTGATCTTATCGAAATGATCTACTACAGTCCGGAACCTTCTGGAAAACTGCAGGCGCGGTTTGCGCTGAGAATCGTGTGGTGTTTTGGGACGATAACAAAAACTTGGGAAATGGAACGTGTCACCCTTTTCTCCGGACACGGCAAAGCCACGCACGGCTAGGCGTGGGAGAGAGCCGAAACTTCCCCGTTAGCTCGGGTCCGTGGTGTCGCTACACACCAAACGCCTACTTGCGCAGGCGCCCCTGCGGGGTCCATCCATGCACCTGTCTGTGTGTCCGTTTGTCCATCTATTCAACACTCCAACTACCACCATCTCGCATCTTTTCATCATATATTCCCCGCATAGAAGCACCGCCATCCAGCGGACATTCCAAGGACTAAACGAGAGGTGGCACACGCACACTTTCTTACGGCTTGCGCTTCGGGTCGATTTCCCACCTTTAACCACCTCATGTTCATAGTATATACAAGTTCGTTGTATTCATGACACTGCCGCTCAACGCTCGAAAACCTTTCTAAAACTAAGGAGCTTACACCCAGCGAGTATAACGTAGCAACCCTTTCTTGTTAGATAGTGCTCAATGTACATGCCAATGGCTGCTAATGGGGATTGCAGCGTGCGCGTTAACTAAAAGCCAAATACTCCTGTCTCTCATTCCTCATAAGCAGCCATTGGCATGTACATTGAGCACTATTTTTCGTTGTTCAACAACGTGCAGAAGAAATCTCTCACCGGCACCACCTTGGAGATCAAATTGTTATAGTTGTTACACACTACAACGGCTACGAGGGATGAACAAGTGCCGTTATAAAAAGCTTCGCCCCAAAATATCTACAGTGGATCCGCAGCCACCATAGTTCTCCATAAAACAACGACAGAATTCCAAAAATAAAGAATGGTAAAAGCCATGGAGACATGATCTATTCAATGCTATTCACCGCGTGTTTATAGGAGGTTTTCAGGGCCCTAGAATGGAAAGAGTTAGGGGTAAGAGTTATTAAAGAGTATCTTAGTAACCTGTGATTTGCCCATGACATTGCCCTAATGAATTTAGGGGATGGATTACAGCTCATGATTATGGAGCTGGACACAGAAAACAAATAAGAAGGTCTAAAAAACCAATATGCACAAAATAAAGTAATGTGCAACAGTCTCGGCAGAAAACCGCACTTTGCGATTGGCGAAGATGCGCCGGAAATCGTAAAGCAATATGTCCATTTAGAACAGGTAATAGCCACGGAGCTGAACTATGAGAGTGAAATAACAACTAGAAGAATAAAAATGGAGTGGATCACATCCATTAGGTATTCGCAAATCATTATGGTAATTTGCCACCAACCCTCAAAAGGAAGGTATAAAACAGCTGCGTCTTGCGAGTACTTACCTACGGAGCAGAAGCCTGTAGTCTTACAAAGAGCGTTCAGCTTACATTGAGGACGACACAGTTAGCGATGGAAAGGAACATCATAGATGTAACCTTAAGAGAAATGAACAGAACAGAATGGATCAGGGAATAAACCAGGGTTAAGGACATCACAGTTGAAATCAAAAAGAAATGAACATGGGCCGGGCATGTAGCACGTGGGCAGGATAACCGCTGACCAATAAGGGTAACAACCACTGGCTGGATTTTCAGAGAGGGCAAAAGCACGAAGGGGAGACAAAGCTAGGTGGGCCGATGAGATTAGAAAAGTTCGCCGCTAGAACGTACGTGGGAGCACAAAGCACAACAACGAATTGATTGGCGGATCTTGGAAGAGGCCTTTGCCCTGCTTTGCGCGTATTTAGGCTTAATATGATGATGATGATGATGGCATATGCACTCCTATAATAAAGGGGTCACGTCATGTTTATGTCACCTATATGCTTAAGCACCTTCCCGTAAAGTATGTTTAGGTAGCACTAGCCAGGGCTACCTATGTTCCTGTTGGCATTGTTACGAAACACGGAATAATTGGTTAAATAAAACATACGCACTGTTTGACATACGTCTATGCGTCTGTTTGTACGTATATTTAGCGACATTTTGAAACGTTTCGGCTCAATTAAAACATTACACCAAGTCACCTTCTCTATGCACGTTTCCCATCACGTCCATTTATTTATTTATTTTATTTATTTTAATACCGCAAGGGCCTCCGCAGTGGAGGCATTGCATGAGGGGTGGTACAAAAGATACACTTGGTACGAGCATACAAAGGTGACATGAGCTCCATGATTACAAAAGAAATACACACACGTTGGGTCAACAACTTGTACAAAAATGTAAAATTCGGCGGACACATGAGCTGGAAATAGCGATCATAAATGCGAAGCGCATCAAACAAAAAAACGGCACCAATATATCACACAATCCCGGGCGCTGTAAGCGACTTGAACTGGTCAAGGTTTCTTAATTAGACTACGTAATCTGGAAGATGGTTCTGTTCCTTTGTAGTGCGTATAAAATATGGCTGCGCAAATGAGTTAGTACGGGGGCGAGGGTATGTTACTTGTAATTCAATATTGCTACGGCTCGATACATGCAGTTTCGGCACGATGTAAGTATTGGGTGATAAAGAATGATAAAACCGGTAAAATGATGGCAGTCTCGAAAGCTTCGGGCGGTGGCTAAGGGGAAGAAGTGCCAGGCGTGATTTCAGGTATGTGCCACTAGTAAATGATGAGTAGCCTGAGAAAGTGAATCTAACCGCGCGGTTTTGAATTGCTTCAACGCTATCAGTTAGGTACTTCTGATGCGTATCTCATATCGCGGCTGCGTGCTCTAATTTTGGGCTGATGAGGGTTTTAAAGGCCAGTAGTTTTAAGTGAAGAGGAGCAAGTTCTATTGTACGCTGCAGATACCCAAGAGATCTAGTAGCGCAGGCGATCAATTTGTTTATGTGGACGGTCCAGGAGAGATCATTCGCGATAAGAACACCTAAGTACTTATAAGACTTCGCGGATTGTAAAGACGACCCTGATAGAGTGTAAATAAAAGTTAGTAAGCTCGCGCGTCATGAAAAAGACATTATTTGAACTTGGAAAGATTTATTGACATTTGTCAACTTTTACAGTAGTTTTCAATAGTAGTTAAACCAGATTGCAACGTAAGTTGGTCTTGGTTACAAGTAATTTTGGCATACAGCACACAATCATCTGCAAAGAGACGTATGTTGTTAGTAATGTCGGAAGGCAGATCATTGATATAAAGAAGAAACAGCAGCGGGCCAAGTATACCTTGTGGCACGCCGGAAAGAACAGGGGTTGTGTTGGATTATGCGGCATTTACTATACGACAAATTGCTTTCTTGTTCCGAAGAAGTTTTCTATCCAGTTGAATGCAAATGAATCTAGATTTAGCTGTGATAGTTTGTACATTAGACGGCGATGGGGCACCTTGTCGAACGCTTTTTTGAAATCGAGAAAAATTACATCTGTTTGGATATTGCTGTCGAGATTAACGTGTAAATCATGGGTGAAGGCGGCAAGTTGTGTTTCGCACGATAGCCCTTTACGAAACCCGTGCTGTGCGACAGAAATGAAGTTATTGCGCTCAAGGTGGTTTATGATATTCGTAAAAATTACAAGTTCCATAATTTTTGATGGAACGGAAGTAATTGAGATGGGGCGATAGTTCAAAGGTTATGATCTGTTACCGCGTTTATAGGTTGGAACAATCTTCCCTTGTTTCCATTTAGTGGGAACACAGGTGAATGACAAGGATTGAGTGAAACGCAAGGCAAAAATGGCACTGACAGGAAATTTAATATTTTTCAGGGTTTTGAGTTTATTTTGTCCGGTCTGGTGGCATACGATAGTTTTATAATTTTAACTATGTGAAGAATTGCGCTGAGTGGGATTGAAATTGGGGGTAGGCATCGGTTCTGAAATTACTGGATGTGAGGAGAGGGAGGGATTCATATCTGCTCCTGTTGTGAACACTGAAGAAAATGTTGTTCAGTGTGAGAGCAGTGTCACTATCGGTTAGTTCATCGTTCTTGTCGTCACAGAGTGTTATCCTGATTGGGGAGATGGGTCGATAGTCTTTCAAAATTGCTTGGGGTTACTTTTTAGCATACTTGTTAGTGTTATCTCGTAAAAGTTTCGTTTAGCAGCGCGAATGGTTTCTCAAAGCTTTTTTACTGCACTTTGATATGCTTGCCACGTGGGTTGATCATTTCTTGCCTCTTTCCTAAACAATTTTTCCTTTCTTGAGTTAGAGAACCATGACACTGACATCTTGCTTTGATTAGTTACCGTTGAACATACTTGTCAGTTCATTCTTGCATTTTATCCGAAAACAGCCTCCAGTTTTGCTCGGCTGAGCGGTCGCAATAACCTTGCTCGAAAGAAGTATAGAATTCTTCCAGTTCAGTGGTAAATCTTTCATAGTTGCCATGGTAATTAGGCCCTATAGCTTTGTTAGACAGACAGACAGACAGACAGACAGACAGACAGACAGACAGACAGACAGACAGACAGACAGACAGACAGACAGACAGACAGACAGACAGACAGACAGACAGACAGTTCTTCACCTCTGTAAGTAGGATAACTGTGAATGTAGAGCTCCTGAAAGTTTGGTTAAGATCAGTGTTTATTTCGAAGACCATAGAAGTCGTACCTGATAGAGCTCTGTGAACTACGCTGATGCGCTTCTTTGTGGATGCGTCATCACGCCGTTCTTGCTTCTTTGACGTCGCTTGAGCCGAGGGAGTGGCGTCTCCATTCTCGACGTTGCCGCTGGTCCCCCGCTTTCTCCGTTGTGGCCGCGACAGACTTGTCTTCCTTCTGGACTTGGACTTCTTTGATGCACGCTGCATGAAGGAGCGTACACGAGCAAGACGTTTTGTTTATTTATCAGGGCTTTAAGTTCACGTAGCTCAGATTGTTTGGTATAACTTAGGCACTCTGAGACCCTGCCTCCTCCAAAGAGGAGGCACAAAAAGGTGTCCCAATGAGCGCGAACTTCAAACATACGTCCCAACCTCGATGGCTGGTGACTGCACATTCAAACACATTTCCAAGTGCATAAACGGGTGTATTTGGGTATTTAGTTGTGGACGCGATCGTCATCCTTCCTTCCCTCGTCTGGATGTGGCGTCTCCGGATTGAAGTAGTGTGCGATTACAAGTCACCATACATGATCACACATTTTAAGCTTGAGTTTTTAACAACGTTCAGAACTGTTTTTAATTATCATTCACATTCTAAAATCAGCAACGATAGTCATCATCCAGGACCGTTTTTGATAAGAAATTCAACACATGAAATCACGCTCATAAATTAAAAGATGATATCATGTAGAGGTACTTAAATTTTCGTTGTGCATGCTTTAGTGAAGAGGAACGAACGCTATAGTGATTGACTGTCCCCAGTGATGTCTATATTACAGTGTCAGTCTCTGCTAAGCATTGCTTGTCAATATCCTTCGCTCTCGAGGTCCGTGAATTCAGGCGTTGATGAACTATTATGCTTGCATTCCACAAATGCCTTTCGGAGGCGTACTTGCAAGCTTCCAACGGGTGTTAATCAATGGTCACAAGTTCGATCCCCGCCAGGGCAAATTTATCTCTCAGTCCATCTTTCTTTACGCTTACATTACAATCACTACTAATGAGATCCGTCATACTTTGCTTGGCGTTTTTGTGTTAGTTCTCATATTTATTAGCTGTCAAAGAAAAACAATCTCTTTAATTTCCACTTCTTTCCCCTCCTGCCCCCTCACACACTCAGAGAGAGAGAGAGAGATAAAAGAAGTATTAGTTCCGTCGTTTTGATATGTGCCCTATAAAAGTAAGCATTTCATGCGTTTACATAAAGGAGGCGCTATGTTCCCCCATTCATCCACCCAAACAAAAAAAGGCAAATATTAGTTCGCCTGAAAACGTATACTGATTGAAACACTTCATTGTCCTTAAAGGGGCACTGACGTGATTTTGAAGCACCCTAAAAGGGACATCTTTCATTTCCATGGTGTGCAGTACCATCAACGTTCTCCACACACCGAAGCCACACAACGCTCACAAAACATTTTACTTTGATTTCAAGGCTAGTCGCCTAGCGTCTGTGAGCCAACGCCACCACATAGTGCATTATCAGGACAAGTCAACGCAGTTCACTGGTTCTGCGAAATTCACGTCCTGCCTGCCACCTAGATAGCAGAATTCAATGTAAGAGCCTCTGGACGACAATTCACTCATCATTGTTTACTTGAACCACGTGTACTTGACAGCAAACAGACTGCTTACACCTGTACATCGTGAGTTGCAGTATCCCCGTGATATCAGACCTCTATGGAAATATTACTGTGAAGTCACATTCCCGATTTTAAACCAAAATTTCTGTTTAAGGGTCTTGGTATAAAAACAATCCCAGCATATCCACGGAGCGAATGATGAGTGGGGTGAAGCGTCCGTGCGTGCGTGCTTACGTGCGTCTGTCGGTCCCTCTGTCCACCTAGTGAACACTCCAAGTACCATCATCTCGTGTCTTTTCATCACACATTCATCATATAGAAGTACCACCTTCCAGCGGACATTCCAAGGACTAAACGAGAGGTGGCTACTATATCACAAAATGGGACGTAGAACCCACTGGCGTAAGGAGCTTCGCCCCTGAAATGCATTCGCTGCATTCCCAAGCACCATGACATTCTTTTTATAGTGTTCCTTACACCCGCGTTTCTAATTAAAAAACAGCAACCTGAAAATATTTAGAATTCCTGTCAGTACTCCTATAAATAAATATTAATAATCCCGGCAAATCTCCCACCAAATTACCAGAGAAACTTCTTCGATTGCATTATTGTATAAACCACAATTTTAGAAGTCATGACCGCATAGAGGATAATATCTCTCTCACAGGGATCAGTGACGCCTCCCAAAACGTAATCAGCCTTTTCAACTTTCCAGTGCCGGCCTCTCCCCTTCTGGTATGCTTTTGGTGGAGGCCTGGGCAGCCCGTAAGGCCAGAATGAAATCCTCCGACATCGACAGGCTCTCCGCGGCTTTCTCGCTAGGAGCCGAACGCACATGCCGTGGTATCATGAAGGAGTCAGATCGTTTTGTTAACTTTACCGAGATTCGCGAGGAATATACGCCTTGCTCATACATGACTCACCGATATTGTATAGCGAACGCTGCTAAATCGCATCATTGTTGTTCGCTGCATTTCTTACCTCATACATTTGGATACAAATACCTGAATGGTACAGACTCTTAGACTAGTAGGCTCATGACATTCTGCGAAGCGGCTGCGCAATCTGCTTTCTACCTCGGGGCTGTGTCTTCAATGAATACAACCGAAAGGTATACATTACAATCAGCCTGGGTGTTGCTTTCGCGGCATTACATTACGCAGTCGGCTGAACAATCCACCCCTGTGTTTCGCGCTATGATTGACGCGTCAAAGGTTTCACGAGAGGAAAACTGCCGCCCTGATTCGTACCCTAGTGGAAAGCGATGCGTTCGTTTATGCGATCGAGGAGGGAAATTCTGAGTGAGCTGGAAGATTCGCATGCTACTTGCTCGTTTTCTCTTCGTAAAGTTTTCCTCACCACTTGATTGTTCTAGTTTTGTCAACTGGTGGCTAAAAAATGGGACTATGCATTAGGCTTTCGTTTATTTTAAGACGCGGCGCAATGAATGTATGCCCAATTACCTCTCTTTTTTATATGAATGTACGTGATTGCTTTCCTGCAGTCACTATCAAGTTCGACGAGTCGTACGGTTTGCGGCTTTCCGCAAACCATGACAAAAACTAAAACATAATATCCTTGAATAAATGCAGCCAAAAACAAAATGTGCTACACATTTTCTGGTGCAAGATTTCATTCAATGTATGCAAAAAAAACATCGCAGGGTGAATTTCGGATAAATATACCTTTTATTACTATTGGGAATAACTGTTCAGAAAATAATGAACGTATTGCGGCATTAATTACATTACAACATAATGCAGTATGACTTGTATTCGTGTTCAAATTGTCCGTTTGCACACAGCTCTTGATAACTTACGCCTGAAACAGAGTTACCACGCCACCTAGCAGCTTTATAGGCGCTTTCATCGGAAGTGCGAAATCTTGCGGTCACTTCGTCGGCGTCTCAAAAAGAGAGAGAGACAGAAAACATTTATTGAAAGAAGCTTGTGAGTGGAGGTGGGAGGGTTCCTTATTCCAGGAACCCTCTGGCTTGTACAGCCCGCCGAGTTCGAGCGAAGAGTTGACACTGCTCGACCAGGTCCGGCTGAGAGATCGCAGCCTCCCACGCTTCACTGAGGAGGTCTTGGTCCGCATCTGGTGCTGCTGCTCGTAGTCTTGTGACGCTTACTTTGCACTGCAGTAGGAGGTGTGCCAGAGTGTCTGCCACTTTGCAGTGAGGGCAGATGCAGCTGTGTGACGTTTGCCTCATATGGTGCAATAGTACGCCGTGGGTGAACGTGTTGCTTAGAAGACGCCTATAGGCAGTCCCATCGTCCCTTGTGAGTTTTGGATGTGGCGGAGGGTATAACCTGCGATCGAGCCAATAGTGTTGCAGTAATGCATGGTACGTTAGTGGTATGGCTTTTCTTGCCTCTGATTCTGTTGTTGAGTGGGAGGTGCCTCGGATCTCGTATGGGAATGCCCGGTTGACGCATTCGCGGGCGGCGGTGTGTGCCGCTTTATTTCCCTCGAGACCTTCATGACCCGGAATCCACACGGTGCATGTGTAGGGACGAGGATTGTTTATGCGCTTTAGTAGCCTAATTGCTACCGTGGAGACCCCGCCTTTCAGGTAGTTCCGTGCCGCTGTTTGTGAGTCAGTAAAGACCACGATGGGATCCTCACTCGTCTGGGTGGTGAGTGCTATAGCAGCCTCTTCAGCTGTTTCCGCACGTTTGGCAAGGATAGTCGCCGATGCCAGTACCGCGCCCTTGTAATCTGCGATGGTAATAGCGAAGGCATTACGTCCGGATATTTGGCTGCGTCCACGTATCGCGCCTACGGGTCATTGCCATGCTTTTTTCGGATCATGTTAACCCTGGCGATCCGCCTTTCTCGGTGATGTTGAGGATGCATGTTTCGAGGGATCTGCTAAATTTCAAGGCTTTCTCGCAGCTGTGACGGTATTTTGCTTTTGCGTTCTTCGTTGGGTTCTAGGGTGGTCTGGTATCCTGTGCGTCGAAGGACGCCTTGCCCTGTTAGTGACAGCTTGAGTCTCTCGACCTGGTTGGTGAGGTGTGCTTCGGTGAGTTCTTCCCACGTATTATCAACAAGCAGTTGGTCAGTGGAGGCGGCTGGCGGCAGTCCTAGGGCAAGCTTTGTAGCCCTTCGTATCAGCAGATTAGGCTTTTCTTTCTCCGCTGTCTTCAGGTTGAGGTAGGGAGTTCCGTACGTTATGCGGCTGTAAAGGAGAGCTTGTACCATTTTTAGGGTGTCGTGCTTTTTGAAGTCAATGCGGCGCTTAGCCACTCTTCGGATTAGGTGGATGATCTGTGTCACAGTGTTCTGCAGCCAGGATATGGCAGCTGAGCCAAACACATCTTTATGTATATGTAGTCCAAGGACTCGAAGCATGTCAAGTTGTGGTATTTGGACTCCCTGTAGAAAGACTTGTGGGTCAAGAGCGTCGTAGCTTGGTGGTCTACCCCGGGTGTGTGTCGCAAGTACTAACAGTTCCGACTTTTCCGGAGCACATCGGAGGCCGCAGGTCTTGAGATAGCGTTAAGCGATGTTAACTGCCTCTTGAAGTCGGTCCTCCTGTTCACCCGTGCTTGGACCACTTGTCCACATAGTGATATCATCGGCGTATAACGCGTGATGTATCCCAGGGACAGC